CCCTGAGTGGAAATCAAACCGGCGACCCTTCGGTTCACAGGCTGGCACTCAGTCCACTGAGCCACACCAACCAGGACTAAAAACAGATTTCTGATCACCGCCTCCAGACCTTCTGAATCAGTAAGTCTAGGGGATAAGGCCTGAGAATTTGCTTTACTAACAAACTCCCACCCAGGTGGCATGGATGCTGTTTGGGGACCACATTTAGAGAAGCATAATTCTACCCTTTCTCATATACTTGGGATGACCCCAAAGTCCTTTCTATAGATTTTATAATTTAAAAAAAAAGTAAAATATCTTTCAGCATTCTTTATCCGCCCTTGTGTTTACATGCTTTCTCTCCAACTGGATTGTTAAAGAATTAATTTCTTTCATTTCTCAGACACCACAGAACCTAACAAATACTTTCTAGATGTAGAAACTCTAAACAAAACCCAGACACGCATTCATCTCTGAATTGTTGTTCATGCCCCTGCCTTCCGGAGCCCTGCCCTTCAGTACTCCCCTGACTGTGCCATACCACTCGGTGTCTGCGCCATCTGTAGGCCCTAATCACTGACCAGTTGCAAGGGCTCATTATCTTTTCATGAGAGGATGAGTCTGGTCTCCCCAGTCCCCTGAGACTTCTGTAAGCTCCCTTTCCAGTCGTCTTTTTAGCCTGCTCCCCAGTTCTCCACCTGTCCAGCTTCTAGCTGGGCGTCCTATGCACAGAAGACAGCAGATTACATTTTACCAACCATGTCTGATTACCAGACAGTGGGCCTGACCCACAGGCTGTGAATGGGATCCCAGCTGCACACCTAACTTGCAGAATACATGGAAATGACAGCAAGGGGGATTCCCACCCTGAATAGAACTTGGAAAGAAGCCGTCCACCCTCTGAGAGTTAAACCGTACCAAAAAACAACAACAAAAGAGAAGTGAAACACATGGTCAGCTTACAGCAGTGGTTCTCAACCAGGGTGAAGATTTTTGCCCCGGGGCCCCCACCTCAGGGGTATTTGTCAATGTCTAACAACATTAAAGGAATAGAATGGCTTGCCCAGGCAGGTGACTCAGTTGGTTGGAGCGTCCTCCCGTACACCAAAACAGTTGCAGGTTCAACCCCAGTTGGGGTGCATATCGGGGGAGGCCACCCTTCCATGTTTCCATCTCACACTGATGTGTATGTGTGTGTCTCTCTCTAAACTCAATAAATATATCTCCTGGTGAGGATTTTTTTAAAAAGGAATGGGACGGCTTGACTATATTCTGATCGCAGAGGAAGGCAGGGCTGGGCAGCAGTGGAGGCCCTGGGGAAGGTTACTCAGGAACACAGGAGGGCCCAGCCCGGCTGGACCTGGGAGAGAGGCAGGTGACATGCAGCAGACTCACGTCTCACACAAGTGTAGGCTAAAGTCACCGTGTCTTTAAAAATACTGTAAAAAAAATGTGTAGGATAATCAAGAAAATGTGCTATTAACCGGATATTAATAGTGTTCCAATTTTTAAATGTTGTACTGGTTTTTCATTACTGTGTAAAATCACCACAAACGTAGTGGCTTAAAACAACAAGCATTTATTTCACTTTCTGTGGGTCAGGCGGGTCCTCTGCACGGCCACAATCGAGGCGTTAGGTAGGCTGGCGTCTCAGTCTCATCTGAACACTCAGCTGAGGGGAAAGATCTGCTTCCAGGCTGACTCGGGTCATGGCCAGTATCCAGTTCCTTGCTATTGTAGGACTGAGGGCCTCGTTTTCATGCTGGCTCTCAAGTAGAGGCTGCCCTCAGCTTCTAGAGGAAGCGAGAATCACGGGGTTACCTTAAAAGTCTGTCTTCCATTGATGTGATATTAGTGTTGAGGTTACTATTTTTTTAGGAGCCCTTATGTTTTAGAGCTAAATACCGAAATATTTGCAACGAAACTATGTCTGTCTGGGATTTGCTTCAGAACAATTCAAAAGGGAGGTATAAATAATTGACCATGAGTTGAAAATTGTTGAATCTGGTAGGTTCATGGGAGCTCATTATCTCCCTACTTTTGTGTATGCTCGAAATGTTCATAATAAAATTAAAAATAAAAAGTTCCCATGCATATTATCTACTGCTGCAAAACTAATTATCTCACAACTTTGTGACTTAAAACAACAAACACTTTTTTTTCTGTTTCTGTGCGTCAGGAATCTTGCACAGCTTAACTGGGTGCTTCTGGCACAGGGCCTCACAGGGCTGCCATCAAGGAGTCAGAGGAACCCCAGGCCTCCGAGGCTCCAGGAGCTAGAGGGTCTGCTTCCAAGTTCATGCATGTGGCTGATGCTCAGGGGCCTCAGCTCCTTGCTCACACTGGGCAGCTGGCTTCCCACAGAGCAAGTGGTGAGGAAAAGAAAGCAAGAGAAAGAGAAAGAGAGACACACACAGAAGTTGATCAAAACATAAGATGCAGTCTTTTATAACTTAATGGAAGTGACATCCTATTACTTCTGGACATTCTGCTGGGCATGCAGACCAGCCCTGGTGCAGTATGGGAATTGACTGTTGTCAAAATTATCCTTGAAAACCCTATGAATAACCTATAAAACCTAGTGTGCAGTTATACCAGTGCACAAGCCCAGCACCGCCAGTTTTTCTCCAGTGCTGGCACACGTCACCATTTTATTGAGTGCTGGATAAAGCTGTCGGCTTGAAGTTGGAATCATGGTTGTTCCCAAAATAAATATATTTAAACACTAAAGTCACATATGGCATTGCCCCGAGCATATAAAGTTAAATTCAAGTAAATTAAGTGCAGGATGATGGGATTCTAATGCATCGTTCAAGTGAGAAAGCTTATCACGTCTTGATGACATCTGCCATTTGGGTCCATTTTGCTGACTCCTTATTTTAGCTCCATAGTTACCAAACAGCTTTCTGACTATAATTTGGTTTTCCAAACAGAAATGCAAATAGGGAGAAATGCTCTGATCTAAATCATTCCGTGGTTACATTTCTCATTGTAAAATTAAAAGTTGGCGTCTGGCTTTAAATATCGGTCTGTATGTGCTAGGTCACTGTGAATCTGCACCTGAGAGACCAATTCACTCTTGGTTCACCGACATGATAGGCTTTTGAGCCTGCTCCTCCGAGTCCGTACCAGGGGTGTCCAACCTGTGGCCCAAGGGTCCCACACAGCCCAGGATGGCTGTGAATGCAGCCCAACACAAAATTGTAAATTTACTGAAAATGTTATGAGGTTTTTCTATGATTACATGTCACACTGTATTTAATGTGTGGCCCAGAGATGCCAAAAGGTTGGACACCCCTAGACCATGATAAATTTACCCAAATAATGCCACCCAAGGGGGAATCATGGGAGGGGCCTAAAAATCTTCTCAAGGTGTGATGGCTATACTTACTCCCCCACACTTCTCAGGTCCCTTGCTATTAGATGGGAGGATGTAACCAGTTTTGGTCTGTAGACTGCAAACAGAATTGACACATCACTTCAGAGCCAAGATACAGTGAGATTTTCATATGCTCCTTCCTCCTGCCGCAGCAACCATGGAGGCCACACACTGAGACAGTAGAATGCAAAACCAGCCTGCGCCCCTGCACGATCATGATGAACGGAGCCCCTCTTGACCTGTGATAGACAGAAAATCTGAGGGCAAATAAAAGTTTGCTGTATTAAACCACTCTGACTTCATAGATATTTCCTACTTTAGCATAACCCAGTGTAACTCAATACATCACGGAGGCCAACTTTGCAGGGAGCACATTTTTCGATCAATGGTGACCTTACACTTGAGTGCTGGGATACATCTCCAACAATCTCTCTCCTCAAAGCCCTACACCCACGCTTAGTAAGATGAGGTAGGCAGGAGGTGGGCAGAAGCAGAAGAGGCAAGGAAAAACCTAGCAGGACTACAGATTTTAAAGCCCCCTCAAACCTGCCCTGCTCACATCAGCAGAAAACTCCCTCATGCTAATTCTAGAGGCTTTTGCTCCTGCCTCCCGAAGATGTCATTTCATTTCCTCCTGTTTATCCATTGGAGTGTGCCTGTCCTTCCCCACTGCTGCCTCAGCTTCCCTGGAGGCCACTTCTGGAGCACTGCAGCCACTGTGGCTGCTCAGTCTTCAGCAGGCTGACCAAGAAAACACACTAAATATTACAGTTGCCCTGTCTATTCTGACTCAACTCTCCATTGCTAAATGGAAAAATTTTACTTACAAAAGTAAATATAGGGTTTGAAAATATAGAATGAAAAGTTGACCCAGATGCTTCAAATAGCAACTTTCACGCAAAAAAAAAAAAAAAGAATTTAGTCATCTCAAAGATTTGTTTCTCCAAAACAGCTATTAAGAACTTAGCATACATGTAAGAGAGAAAATCCACACCCTCGCAGTTGCACATTTATGTAAAATTATTCATGCAATTCAGCTCTAGGCTGGGAAAACCTTGCATTTGGCCAGAGCCCCCCAGTGACTCTTGCCCTGGTGTCAGGACCACCAGACAAGTTGTGATGAGCCATGTGTGCAGTGCACGGTGGGCCACCAGCCATTCGGTGAGCTAAAGCACCGAAGCCAGTGAATTATTTTCTTCACCGCAAATTGAGGGAAACACAAGATCACTTTTGTAATACACTCACTCTCACATGCCTTAGCAAAAATAAATAAATATAGGAAACATGGTAGCATTAAGGTGAAAAATGTTGGGACAGCAATTTCTAACTGATCAGCTAGCAGTTTTTGAGACAGCCAAGAACTGCCACCAATAAGGTCACGTTAAAGAAACACTGTTTAAAAAAGAACCCTCACCCAAGAATATATGTACTGATTTTTAAGACAGAGGGAAGGAGAGAGAGAAACATCGATCGGTTGCCTCTTGTACGCACCCGGACCGGGGATCGACCTCACAAACTTTTGGTGCATGGGAGACGCCCCGAACAACCCAGCCACCCAGCCAGCACAAGAAACGCTCTTAATGACCTGAAACAGTTCCCATCCCAGAGTCAGTTATGGGTATTCAATATTACAGATTTAACAGAATTTAAAGTTGTGTGAAAACCTCTTTATTAAAGTAAGAGAAGAATCCCTTTTAATTTATCACTCTAAAGCCATATATCAGATAAAGATATTAAATTACCTTTAGTATTTTAATTTTATTACCATGCTAATACATACACATTTTTTTTAATTTCTGGGTTTTTTAGTTACTTAGTTATATGTCCTGATTTTTAGTTATTGAACTCAGTGTGTTCCAATAAAGGAAGTAATTTTTAGATACATTAAAATTACTACCAAACATTCCTCACACATGAACTGTTTTCACTGTTTATTTTCATGACCCATCCTTGTCCACATAATTCATATACTCATAGCATAACATTGCTAACATTTTATAGCCTGCTATAATTTTCTTTCCTAGTATTATATCATAAGATATTTTTCTGTATTTCTACATAGTTACCATGTCTTTTTAATGGCTGCAAAATATTCTATCACATTAACCTAAGTTTAAATGGTTTGATTTTGTTCCTCATAAATTTGTTCCTCATTCTGTGATTGGTAGTCACAAAAAAACAACCTTATTCTTTGTTACTAGTTACTTACATTTCAAATACAGGTAGAACCAAAACTCAATAGTTAATTAGGGTGTGTTATTACATCTCCATTAATATGTCTTCATTCTTCTAACATGAGGTCAAGTAGACTACTATGCAAGCTTGCTAAAGGCAGCCCCTTACATTCTCTTTGCGAAAACTCGTTGCAGATAGCTGCATCTGCTCCCAGCCGTCTCTAGGCCGTCAGTGTGCCCTCCAAAACAACAGTGGCGCCGCCCCTGATGTCAATCCGTCCATCAGAACGCAGTGAAATATCCAGCTCTCCTCCTCGGCAGGAACACTGAAAGGCTGAAGAAAACAAAATGAATCAAAAATTAAGATCATTTTCACCCTTTTTAATTAAAAGAACCTAGTGAGACACCTCTTATTACAAATTCCAGAATCCTTTCCGTTGTATGTACAGCCCAGCCCAGTGGGTTCTCCTAAGGACTGGGGGGCCACAAATACAACGGGATCCACAAAACACACAGTTCCATGTCTTCCCTTCCCTGAGCCCCTGAGCTACTTCCTCTCTCACCTCCCCAAATGCCCCAGACACACCCCACCTGTAATTTCCTGCCCAGCTCTGTCCAGGAGTAAGCAAGGATGTGTGAAGACAGATGCTAGAACTAGATGTCTAAGAAGATCAGGAGAAATGGTCTTGGCCCTTCTGAGAAGGCCCCATCTCTCCAGGTCTGAGTAAGATAAAGAGAGTCCACTTGCTCATTGTGGTCATCAAGCAACCACATGTGTCAGGCAAACAAGGGGCACGGCCTCAGCCTTGCTGGAGCTCAGTGCTTTGGGGAGTAACTGGTCTCACCTAAGAAAGAGCAGCCACCCCGCTGTCCCCAAGTTAGTGTCACAGAGGCCTAGCCCTCCCACTAAGACCTGTACTCGTTAGGGTAGGACTCATTTTAATTATTAGGGCAATGTAGCCTCAAGTGTCTCAGATCTATTTTTCCTTCCCTGGAGCAATATATTAATCTCCCAGAAACTTGGGCCAAAAGTAAGAAACCTAACTGATCATTCAGTCTAAACTTGTCACATCACATATAATTTCTCTGGGACAAAGTGACACAGCTTGTTAGTTTTATTCAACAAACATTTATCGGGCGCCACTGCACTAGAAGTGTGTCTGCGTGTCGGGAGGGCAAAGGTGGAAGATGTTTGAGATAGGGGCTCTCTTGCATTGAAGGTTCAGGGGGAGGAATTTAAAAACCTTTCATTTTCTTGTGAGTGCTACATAAGATTTTACTATATCCTCAAGTGGAGAGTACATATGAGAAGGAATACTAGCTTAAGCTTAGGCAAATTTTTTTTTTTTTTACTGAAAAAGAGCTGTCCTACCATGCATAACTTTCTTCCCCAGTTGCTGGGACCAGTAGCTGCTGAGAACGGCATGGGCAGACCCTTAAAAGAAATGAAAAATGATCATGCAGTCACGAAGGAAACTGTGGAGACCTTGTGGTACATTTATAAGCAGTCACAATCAGCTATACAGTTGGACTAAACCTTAGATGACTTAGTCGTTATGTTGCCATGGCCACAGCAGTGTGTGCAATTATGAATGGAGATAGAAAGGAAGACTTAGAATTTATGGATAAGATTCTCCAAATGATACATTTGCTATGCTTTATACTTTCTGAAGGCTGGATTAAAGTGCAGGTTTTAATTCTTGTCCTGTCTATAATTCACTGTCAGACCACGATAGGAAAATCAAGTCCTTCACAAGAGTCTTTCTAGATCTTTCCAGGGAAAAGTTCTGCTTCCTCCCAGGATGCACACACAAAGAAAGGTGGGAGTTCTGACAAAATGCCAAATCTTCCACCAAACGCAGTCCCAGGCTTTCAGTGGCTAAAAAACTTTCTTTCAGTGAGGTATTGTCTCACATGATTGTACCCTAGTTTTAGATCAGAGAATAGACAGTAAAATGAAGAACAAACTATAAAGTAATAACTGCCAGAAAAGTCTTCGAGGGAGAAAAGTTCGGATTGGAAAAGGCCCCTCTTTCAGAAAAATGCAGTAAATGTTATGGGAAGCCCACATGGTGTGAGCAGCCACGCAGTTTGCCTGAGACTGTCCTGGTTTTAACGCTGAGGTTCCACGTGCTGAGAAACCCTTGATTTCAAGCAAGCTGAGATGGTTGGTCATCGCTGTCCAAAGACCTTTCCTCTCTAGAGAAGCATTATTCCAGGGGAAACACGCTTGTCCTCTGTGCCAATTAAAATCTTTGTAAAGCAGCTGTACGAGTATAAATCTACTCAGAACTTCTTGTCCATGGGGGAAGGGTTGAGCTGGACTGTTTGGATGTCATTCGGGCATTTTCCTGAGTCTTTAAAAGTGCTTGCTTGCTGAGTTTGGGTTTCACATGCCTTGTTCCTGAGAGAGTAACTACGTCCTGACTCCACCCCAGCCCCTGCCATCTGACCAGGACAGGAGCCTGCAAGTCTCCGCCCAGCCTCCTCTGGCCTGGCCACCATCCCACCCATGGAGCACTGCCCACTTGGGCTGCTCAGCCCACTCTTCTGAAGAGGATGAAAGTAGGAGACTTCCCATTCTTGCCCATCTTAAATCTTATCCCTCTGCTTCTGGCTGGGAGATCTTCAATAACCCTGTTCCCAAACTCACCCCACCTTCTTTGGAGGCAGGTCTGGGAAAGGTGGAGGGGAAGAAAAGAAACACTATTCCTGTCCCTCTTTCCACTTGCAGCCCAGGAGTTCATCCTTCAAAACCAATTCTTATCTAGATGTCAATAATCATGCAGGATGGTCACCGGAAAGGGCAAAAGACATCAGCCCCTGAACTTAAAAAATAGCAGATCTGGAGGTGTTTGCTCAGGGAGCCAGTTTCATGGTTATTATTAAAACAGCTAATAGTTACTGGGCACTTACCATGTGCCAAGAACTATGATAAGTACTTAACTTGCATTGAGTTTCAGTAACCCTCTGGGGATTATTTATATTTTATAAAGGTGAGAATGTATACTTCTAAAAGTTAAGTCATTTACCCAAGGTCAACAACTAGGAAACTAGGATGCACACCCAGGCTGTCTTGACATTAAAGTTTAACTCTGCTAGACTGCTTCCTTTTTCTGTGTTTTCACATGAGATGTCAGTGAAGGGATGGGGGCAGGGAGGTAGGGAAACAGAGGCAGCTGAAGGCCTAAGCAATCTGAAGGTCGCGGGAAGGGCACTTAAACAGCTGTTTGTTATCCTCCCACTCCTCACTGTTTAACCCTCCCCAGGACCCACGTCAAAACTTACCTGTTACAGGGTCTTCTGCCACACCAACCCACGGAGCAAAATATCTGGAGTAAAAGTCAAATGCTTGGGTCTGCCCACCAGGCTGTCCTTTAAGGGTGAGAATGAGTCCTTTCACCTTCCCTGTGTTCTCTATTTGCGGCAGATTCTGTGTGTTCACTTTCAGTTTCTCCAGAAATGACCTTGTTCATAAATGGGATGCATTAGGACAAACACATTCCACAGACCACCCACTAAACAGACTCTGCAAAGCAGGCGAGAGTGTGGCTTCCCCAAACAGATCAGCAGGAAGGGAAAAGCAAATGGAACATCTTCCCACCTGAGAACAAAACTCTCTGGCTGCATAGATCACAGTCTGACTGGACACAGCACAGCCAGACCAAGTCAGAGCTATAAATCTGGGTGCTTGGCCCTCCCCAAAGTGCTGGCAAAGCCAAAAACCTCGTTCACCTGTCGTAAGTATCACTGAGCCGGACCAGGAGCATCCGGGTATCTGGAGAGTAGCGGATGTCCTGCACCAGTGTGTCCCCTATGGCAGCCTGCGGAGAGAGATCAGCCTTCTCAGGAACGTGCTGTGGGTCGAGCCCTTGGTCCCCTGCATGGTAAACAACCTCACGTGCATCTGCAGTGTGCCGGGCACACCCATGGTCTCTAATCCCCAAACTTTAGTTTGGTTTCAGGGTTAAGGTGTTGCCTGAGGAAGGTCATTTTCCTGATGATTAAAGAGGCCTTTAAAGGAGTTAAGCTCAACCTCTGGGAGTCAAATATAGGCATTATTCACAAGCGTTAGTTAATATGTGCCTCTACGTACTTCCTTCAAATGGGTATTTTCCCCACAGATCAGAAGGAAGACTTGAGCCCAAGGTGTCACACGCACGCACACCTCTCGACCCAGGTCTTGGGAGCCCTGGAGTCAGTGCTCTGAATTCCCGCTGCCTACCGTCCTCTGCGATGGGAGGCAGCCCTCGTGCCCACCCCTTAGAGTCGTTGTGGGGATTCAATAAAACACGTGGAGTTCCCGCGGCAATGATGAGAACATTCCACACGGTGAGGACTCGGGGCTGGTGGCTGGATTGGACTTGGGGACCAAAGGACTCACCTTCATGCCGCTGCTCTGCTTGGCAAGCACACTCTTTTCATTTAGAGGCGACATCGCAGGTCAGTAACATAGCCACATTTTCTAAAGATTTTTGCCCTTTATGTAAGACTGTGAGGGACATTTTGAGGGGACAAAAGCCCCTCCAAGCACTACCACGGGATGCCAGCTGAGCAGATGACAGTGGTGATGACATAGGCATTGTCTGGCAAGTATTGGGTGGCTTTAGGTCAAGGACTGAGATGCTCCAAGTCCCAAGGGCAAGATTCCCTCCACCTCAGGTTTCTGGGCTACCTGCCTCTGTTACCACAGTGAACCTTGTCCTTTCCTCTAGAAACTGGAACCCCACCAGCCAGACCCCACTTTCTCTCGGGGACCTTCCAGTCTTTCTAAAGGGTCATCCAGCCCTTCTCTGAATGGATTCTTAGTTGATTTGAAAGTTGAATTCTGGGCCGAGAATCCTATTGCCAGTTTCTAGGAACACAAAATTACAACACTCATGATAAATAACCCTTTGTCATCCTCATTTCACAACGCTGACCCTGAGGCTTAGAGGGGTCAGGTTCAGCTCTTTCTACCACAAACAAGGTAGAAAGAACCTGGAACATTTTCCATTCTCCTGCCAATGGTTCTCCCCCACCCCCACTTCTGCCAATGGAGGCTAATGTTGACAATGAAGAGTCAGTGAAAACTGGTTAACTTTTTCAGCAAATAGATCTAATATTGAAATTCAGACTCGGGTGCATGGTTCACTATCCATTCCAGCTTAGATTCGAACACTGATACTGGTAGCAGGCCTGTCTATTGGGGTCAAATGGTGCCTCAGCTTTGCATTCAAACAATACCAAATGTTCAAAAACATGAACTCAGTTTTTATTCTTTTCACTAACCTTTATCAAGTCTCTTACTTCATGAAAGTCCTATATGAGGAAAAAAGACAAAAATCATTGGAAAGTAGGCAAGCTGTCAGTTGTACACAGTTTATTAATTGGAAAGAACTGACCTGGGGTTGGGCTGGATAAAGAGGCAAGTCCAGGATGATGCCATCCTCTGCTTTTCTGGCCTTTAGTTCCCCACTCAGCGTCACAAAGGTTAGAGTGCTATTCACATTTTCTGGCAAAAAAAAAAAGTCTTATTTTGTCAATCAGAAAACTGTTTGAAAATGAGTCAAGAAACAGGAAAATAAACCTTGTTATATTGTTATATATGTGTATGTCTATTTCAGTCACCATTGTCTTAGATTCTCTGGCACTGCTGTCCTTTCATGCAAGGGGGGGCTCAGGTTTGGTTTGCTGAGGTCCACAGTGGGGAAAACCCTCACCAGATTCTAACTTGAAAACTAAGAACATGGCGGATTAGACTTGGCATCATATTGCAAGGCTTCAAATCCCAGCTCTTTACTGCCTCCTAGCTGTACCCTTGAGCAAATTATTTAACCTCCTTAAATTTCAATTTCCTCATCAATAAAAAGAGGTCAGAATTAAATCTATACTGATTTTACCAATAAAAAAAGGGTAATGATTAAGCCTACCTCATGGGGATGCTATGTTTTCTAGTACAATTTCATATCAACCTACAATAACTGTAGAATTAGAAACTCTACTAGTCTAAGATATGCCGAGTGATGATAAACAGAACATACACGTTATGGACAACAATCTGACATGAATAAATAAGATTTATTTTAACTAAACCAAGCTATACATAACATTTTGATTTAAAGCCTAGACTATAAATGCTGATATAATAGCCCTCCATGCATGTTTCTAATACAACCCGAGCCACTTACCTAACTTCAGTGTGTGTAACATTTTTGGTGAAACAAAGATTTGTGACATAATTCCTTCCCCCCCCTCAATATGTCTGTAAAATTTAAACATATCTCAAAGGTGAGGAAATTCAGCATTGTTTATTACCTTTCACTAAGTATAACTGGTGTTAGACTATTATTTACAAAGCAGTTTTTAGTATCTTATCTCATCTAGCCTTAAACATACTCAAAGGGAATCTGAGAGCTATCATTACAAACCTCAGCCTCATACCAACCAAGGTGGGGTTTTCAAATCCAACTTCCATAAAGTCTGCTTTTCAAGACTGAGTTCCTAAACAATATTTTATGATGTTTGCTTGCCTTCATTCTAATCCCCTAACCACTGAAACCAAAATTACCTTTTTAAAACAGGAAATGGATTACATTACAGAGGTGCCTTGGCCTAACTCTCAATGTTACCTCCTGCCAATCACCCTCCCCCGCAGGAAGCTCCAGCCCTCAGGTTATACAGACAAGTGCCGCTGGAGCTTTGCACTTGCTGCTGTCTCAGCCAGAAATGCTCTTCCTCCCACTCTAACTCTTTGCACAGATGGCTTCATATTCTTCAGCCTGAAGGTCCCCTTCTCTAATGGATGCTGTTGTCCTGCAATGTCTTACAGCAGTCACTTGGTTCGCTGGAAAGAGTATGAGAATTTTAAAACATATTTGCTACTAGCTAAGTGATAGGTTCACTTTTTTTTTTTAATCACATTACTTATTTTGTGAAACAGCACAGCTGCAGAAGCCAGGGTAGCATGGCCACAGAGAGGGACCTCACTCGCTGGTGTGAACCACCTTAATCCGAAGCAGGAGCCTTCAGAGAAAGACAAATCGAAGAGAGACAAAAGTCATTCTCATACAAATGAGCCACAAAATTTTCATTTTCTTATTCTTTTCTAAGTATTTCATTAGTGTCAATCAATTGCTGAAGCATGCTGTGAAAGAAGGAGTGAACTCTAAGCATGCATGCTGGGGCTCTTGGGTACTAGATCTGGGGCTGAACCATTCAAATTGACCAACCCATTCCCCCTGATTAACTGAAAACCAAATCGGATCTCCCCTTCTCTCTCCTCTCTGCATGCAAATAGCAAGTGGGCATTACCCTTAAGTATCATTCCCCCACTGGAAAGGCAGCTTCTGGTACCATTCAAGAATGGTTTTAAAAAATGCTTATTTACTTTGTGTAAAGTTGTCAGTTGGGTGCAGTTTTCGAATAAAAGCAGTTTCTGAGAGGTTCATTTCCCTTGCAATTTTTTGATGCAAGTCTTCATCCAATTTCTACATTAGAAACAAAAAGTTGATAAGATCCCAGAAATATAAGTCAGACTTCTTTGGACAGCAACGGCCATTAGTTAATAACACAATTTATTAATATTAAAACCTGCATGCTTAAAAGAAAATAATTGCCAAGGAATTCAGGCACTTTTCTAAAGATTGCTTTTTAGAAATTCATGTCTGAGCACCTTATGAAGAGCTGTGTAGGTATATAAAGCTAGAATAGACCCTGAAACCCAACTGGCCCGTCCTATCCTTTGTCAGATTTTTACCTAAAACAATCTCCACAAATGGAAATATCACAATCTCCCTTTCTTGTTGGATGAGGAGATATTTGGCACTCCTTCGAGGCAGGCTGGACCACTCTGCCTCCATTTAGGCAGGTTCACTCCCTTTCATGGGCCAGGCCTCAGGCCAGAGGTCGCTCTCTGCAGGATGCCTTCCAGACTGCTCTGCCCGCAAGCACTGTCTCCTTCCCAGTGCTCAGACAACCTGAAATCACCTAGGGTGTCCTTCACTGTCCGTGCCCCCACACTTCTGACTCAGAGCTCTAAGAGGGCACAGACCGCTATTTTGCTTTGTCCTGGCTTAGAACAATGCGTTGTATTCACTCCAGGATGGAAGAGGCTCGATAAACATTTGCTGAAAGAATAAACACATTACTCACTTAATCTTTGTTTTAAAAATCTTCAATATAGATATTTTATCCACTTACAGATGAAGTTAAACAGAGAGGTTGTCTAATAACCTACGATCACAATATACCTAATCAATGGTAAAGTGATTAAGAGTGTGGGCTTTGCAAATGGTAACAACCAGAGAATCTAGAGGAAAGGTATATGGATGTTCATTGTACCACTCTTGAAACTTTTCTGTAGGTTTTTAACTTTCCAAAATAAAATGTTAAAAATAATGTGAGGCCCTGGCAGGTGTAGCTCACTTGGTTGGGGCAGCTCATGATGTTTCTCCCATCGATATTCCTCTCTCTCTCTCTCTAAAGGCAATGAAAAGAATGTCCTTGGGTGAGGAATGAATGAGTGAATGAATGACTGAAGTAGGCTTCGCACTTGGTCAGGTGACTCAGTTGATTGGGGCCTCATCCCACACAACAAAGGGTTTCGGGTTTGATCCCTGGTCAGGGTGCGTACCAGAGGCAACTGATCAGTTTCTCTCTCACACTGATGTTTCTCTCTCTGTTCCACTCTCTCTAAAGTCAACAAACTTGTCCTCAGATAAGGATTTTAAAAAGTTGTTTTAATAAAAATAATGTGGGCTTTGGAAACAGAATTGGAGCTGTATCTGGACCAGCCCCTCGTAGCAGTGCGAGAGTGGGCAGGTCATTACCCCCAGGGAGCCCCAGTTTCCTCGGAACCTCAAATTCCTCAGTTTAAGGGATTTTAATCCCTTAAAAGGGGATTAATGGTATTAAATCAAAGAATTATTGTGAAAATACATGTGTACATACCATATTTTCACACACAGACACATTCTTTTTACCTCAAGAAAAAAATGGGTCAGAAATATGCATTTTCCTTTTGAGAATAAAAATAAATTTTTAAATCCACATAATGCTTACTAGCTAGATTTTGAATTCTAAAGACAAATAAATTTTTGCTTTGGCCAAAGTTACTATTTTTGAGATCCTGAATGCCAGAAATAAGAATTATAACTTTATACTAATAAATTCATAATTCACTTAGCTGAGTTATACAAGTTAATCACCCTTTGTTTTTTAGTTGTTTCAAATTCTTTTAAAACACTTCCCATATACTTGTGTAGGCATTAAACAGTGGTTATTGTGAAAATCAGTCATGAGTTTTAAACTATCAGCTGGTATAAAAATCCTATCAAGAGATTTACTAAGGTTTTCTTAAAGGAGCACTATATTCAAAATCTATAGAAATTCTATAGTCCTATAGAAAGAGAAATCACTTAAGAAATTGGTAACTTATTTTCTGAAAACCCAAACATAACAAATTGGTTTTGTTTTTTATGTAACGTTTTTCTTTCAAAAGGTTAAATCTAGTAATGCATGTAAAGTGCTCATAATAGTGACCAACATGAGCAAGTACTTGATTAATGTTACCTTTTTACTTTGAGTGACTGAAAGTCTGTGCTTTAACCTGCCACACTGCACCGCCTCTCCATAACACAGACAAACTGTTCTTATCCCTTTAACACACTGCAGACAGGAAAACCAATGTGCATCAGGTCAAATGGACCCCTACAATATTTCTGAGGGAAAGCAGCAATCAGTTACTGAGCTGGGCCAGCAGCATCAGCAGCACCACCAAGGGAATTTGTCAGAAACGCAGCGTCGGATCCCGTCACGGGCCTTGTGAATCAGAATCTCAGTTTTAACCAGGCCCCCAGATGACCCGTCTGCACATTACAATTTGAGAAGCCCTGGTGCATACGAATGGCCCTGTGTTCTTGTGGGGAGTCAGGACAGACACAGAAAGCAACAGTGAACAACACTAGAGAGTACCTGTGAATGTGAGACATATTGTGTACAGTGTGCAACTGAGATACATCAATTTTGACAATAAATACGTTAGGCCTTTAAAGATGAGGCCTTGAAGTGGACCTAGAAAAAGGGCAAATTTTGGTGAGTTGGACAGGATAATGTGTGCAACGTTAAATGTGAGCTTTGTATTGGGGATGCTTCTTGGGAAAGTTACTTGATCTCACATCCGTCGGTTACATCTTTGACACTCTAGGATTCTGTGACTTAAGTAAGAAGAATTAGGATGGTAGGATGAAATGAAATAAGCCCCTGTCACAGCTGTGGGCCTGGAGAATGAGAAGTCCCATCTGAGCAGGGGAAGCGGGTGGTTGCTGGAGCATTCCAAGCAACAAGGCAGCACTTAAGAATTGAGCTTGGGCATGCTTTCCCTCTGGGAGCATGGCTGCACCTTTTCCTTCCTCCTCTACTTCCCCCTCTTCTTCCCCCCAAGGCATGTTACTTTTGCCTCTCCCTCTCCTAAACTCTAAGGGCCCTTCTTCTGCCTCTGTAACTTGTTTCCTGAGCCTACGCAGCCCAGCTGGCTCACTTTTACTACCTCTATAACCTTCTAAATAAACTTTCTCATAATTTGGAAAAAAAACTGAAGCACTTGCCATGGCCTGTACAATGTTCTCTGTGGAAACTGGCCCACACACCTGTGCATACAACACCTAAGAGAAAGTAGAAGCCATTTAATTCCCCAGTGCAGAATCTGCAATCAGAAGACTCAATGGCCAATGGAGGGGTGACAAAGAAAAGCCTGCGTGGGTCTTCCTGGGTTTGCCTCCCTGGCACAGGAACCTGCAGTGCCTGCCAGTCCGTCCTCTCTCTCTGATCCAGCCACACTCTCCCTACCCTTGTCCTTCCTTTCTTTACCTATTGCTTCCCTCAACCTTTAGGACAAGAGTCTCTGAAAGCATTAAAGCATTCCACTTTGTAGCCAAATTTGCCATCTATTGGTAATAAATTTCCTTGCAAAAGGGCTGTTTTGCACATCAGCTAGAACACATACTTTACTGACCACCAGCTCTTTAATCCTCTCTACCTTGATGAATTATACCAATTGCAATTTGAATTTCTGTAACTATTCACTGTCCCAGGACACTTAAAATCACCTATTTGCCTGCGGGACCAGAAGACATAATGTCTAAAGTTTCATAATAGCAGCTCTCAGTATGCACCATATGAGGCTGAATTTCTACACCGGAACTAAAGGGCAAGATACTGGTGACTCATGAGAAGGGCAATACTGGCTCTACTTTGAGAACTTTAGAAACAAAAGGAAGAGGCCGCATTCATTTAAAATACTGAATTTGGGTTCCAATCATTTTTTTATTTTACACTACAAGCTTATTTTCCTTTTTCTATATTTGAGTTTTTAACTATATTTTATTGATTATGCTATTACAGGTGTCCCCGTTTTTCTCTCCCCTTTACCCCTCTCCTCTCTGCACCCACCTCTACCCTCCAGCATTCCCCTACCCCTTAATTCATGTCCATGGCTTGTACATATAAGTTCTTTGGCTTCTCTATTTCCTATACTGTTTGTAACCTACCCCATGTCTATTTTATGCCTACCAGTTATGCTTCTTATTCCCTGTACCTTCCCCCTCTAATCTCCCCCTCCCCACGGATAACCCTCCATGTGATCTCCATTTCTGTGATTCTGTTCCTGTTCTAGTTGTTTGCTTAGTGTTTTTTTTAGGTTCAATTGTTGATAGTTATGAATGCGTTGTCATTTTATTGGTCACAGTTTTTGATCTTTTATTTCTTAGAAATATTTGTTTATTTGTTAGTAACTGTTAGTAACGCAGCACAAAACAGTGACAAACCAACAGCTTTTAATTCTCTTGCTTTAAGATCTTACTTCCTTTGGCAATGTCATGTGAGACAAATTTCCAACGGCAAAAACAGAGCTATGATTTTTTTTTTCTTCTGAGTTTCAATGTTCTGCATCAAGACACTGAGTTTCCATCGCCTTTAAGGCCCACAAAAAATTAATGATCAGAAAATCAAAGTAAAGTTTTAAAATACTCCCATCTTGTGGCAGTTTTGAAGTATGACAGCCTAAACATAACAGTCTTGCTCTCAGTCTTTGTCCCTCTGCTGCAGATACAGTCCAGCAAAGAAAAAGTAGTTGGATGTAGAAAGTTCTAAATCGTCCAGGAGGAAATAAGAGACTCCTTCTAAGGCACCTGGATGATTGTGAAGTTATGTCCCTACAATGCGGTTCTCCAACCACAAGTCATCTTTAGTCGTTCCTACTGGTTCTTGCGCATGTCCAGTCTCTGCAGCTCCGTCTGGAGCCCAAAGCTCGTACTCACTTTCCATATTCCACCCACCCCTTCCCACCAATCAGAACATCAGACCAATAATTCTTGGTTAACTAGAACTCTTCAGAAGTTTTGCCATAATTTAATTGATTATATTTTTTACGTTCACTCAACAGATATTTAGTGCCTCCCGTGGGCTAGGCCAAGTGTGTTGGAACACGTCTAAATGGATCTAAGACTGTGTAGAATGTGCCGTCTAATGAGGAAGACAGGCATTGAGTGAAGTACTGGAGTGATACTTGTTACTAACTGAGAAGGAACACTAAGGAGGGCCGAGGAAGCAATTAAAGAGAACTTGTCGTTGAATAGGGAGCACAATGGTTAAAGCACAGGCTCCGCAGTCAGACAGACCTAGGGTGGGATCCTAAAGTCAGCCACTTAGGAGTGCGTGACCTCTGGCAAAGTACTCAAGCTTCCTCCGCCTCTATTTCCCCATCTGTAAAATGGGGGTAATAATAACAAGACCTACTCATGGAGTAGTTGTGAGGATACAATGAGATAACATATGAAAGCCAAGCAGCACAGTTTGGGATGAATTTGTCTGAAGTCACTGCTGCCAGAGCTGAGGGTTATGTTCTAGAAGTCAGTGAGGATAGTTGGGAAGCAGAAATCCCTACATCAACATCTCCTCTTCCTAGACATCGCTCTTTTTGCACAAATGCTGGACAAAGGGAAACCCTTCAGTATCCTAGAGAAGTCTTCTCTGCACTCCCCAATCTCTTTTCTGGGCATAAAAATGAGATACGAGGTTGAAACACCCTAGAAACCCCAGGAGCCTCTGACTGAGTGTGGTCACAGAGTCTCTCTCTAAGGGAGGGCACCGAGTTTGGAGGCGGGCAGTGCACCAAAAGCTTCCCGACATGAGTTAAAGCATGGGCTGAACACAGTATTAGGCTTCTTTTCTTCCTTAAATACATAATCTGCTAAGCTATACAGGAGTTTTGGGTGTTCTCTAAATTTAAAATTGGAAGAGCAAATAGTTCAGAAACTGAAAACTAAGCATTCTTCTTTAAAAATGTGAAACCAATCTTCCTTGCCATCACTGGAATTATTATTAATGCTTAAAAGAATAATAATTATTTTAAACAGTAAATGCCAGTTGAATTAGAATAAGTGTATATATTGGGCATACAGAAAGTGTTTAATGGAGAATTTTAACAGAAAAACTCAGGAATAAACTTCCTTAGTACAGGTATTCTCTGAAGCAACAGATCTCAACCCGAGGCAATTTTTTATTGCCTTGACCAAGAGGGGAGGCAGGACTGCTGTCATTTAGTGCGCAGAGGCCAAAGATACCAGTAAACATTTTACAGTGCACATGACAGCCTTATACAACAAAAAAAACACGCTGTCCAAAATGTCAGTAGTGCTACGGTTAAGAAACCTTGTGCTAAACACACACACACACACACACACACACACACACACACACACACACGAGACCAGCAACAACCAAACAAAAAAATGTGATGATTTCCTAGAATATGAAGGATAAATATGGGCTCCCTACCCCTGAAGATATGTTATTTTTCACAAAATGTTGAAGCTGGTTTACAGAAGAATAAACAAAACATCACCCCTCAGTATGGTCAAAGGCCTCTGACCAATCCAATAGCTGGTTGTGAGTGCTTATAGTTCTTTACTTAGCTGTCATTGTAATGTATCTATTTCATTTTTAAAATATTGTTTCCATACCTTTTTCCATGTGTCTACATGGTCTTTATTGCCAAACTTATTGTCACACGTTTAGGGACACCATCAGTTTTTTAAGACTTTAAATATTTTGCCTGGCCAGGTAGCTCAGTTTGTTAAAGCATCGTCCCAGTACACCACGGTTGTGGGTTCGATCTCCAGTCGGGGCACATACAAGAATCAACAAATGAATGCATAAATAAGTGGGACAACAAACTGATGTCTCTCTCTCCCCATCCCCCTTCCTTTCTCTGTAAGGTCAATAAATAAAAATTTTAGAAAAGGATTTTAAATATTTTATTCAAATATATGTTCCATTTATCCCTTAATCTGTTTTTGTTTTTACCTAATATACAGTATTATAAGTTCCTCATGTGAGAACATGAAAAATGTACTTGTTCTTAAAGAAAAGCACAACTTTAGAATGTTACAAAAGCTCTCAGAACTCTGTTATCCAGAATTTTTCCCTTTCCTTCCAGCAGTCTTTTATCAAGCATTTAAAAAGCAATAACCTAGTCCTTAGTCTGTCCACCAAGTTATTCTGTGGTTGGTCTCATCTTGGTCAAATTTGAAATAATTTTTACAAAAGAACAAAACAAAAAGAATATTCTTTAAAACCCTTCATTTAAAATGTGAACCATTTTCTCCTCCGTAAAATCCAGCACTGTTCTCTGAGTGCCCTCTGTACCCAGCAGCCGTAGGTCTTTCAGCCACTGTGGTGACCACTGATTCATGATCAGGCCCACATGTCTGTGACCATGACCCTCACTAGACTTTGAGCACTTCAAGGGCAGACAAACTTACTAATCTTTGTACTTCCTATCAGTAGCCCAGCGCCTGGCTCATGGTAGATAGTGATAAATATCTGTAGAATATGTTAATGACAGGCTAAGCACCTGAATCATGGCCAGCATTATAAGATTTAACACTTATTTGCCTCTGATATTTTCCAGAGTTCACTTGTCCTCTCTCTAGGCACTTTAGGTATCCACTGTCTCCAGCCATGGATAAGAGAATCCAAGGGCAGAAAACACACTTTATATTTCCTTTATAACTTTTATTGATCATGAATTAGGTAGGGAAAGTGCTAAATTCACCTCCAGGAGAACAGAACTTCCATGTCCACAGAACAGAAAACTAGCAAACTGGTCTTTAGATGCCCATTCAGTTGTCCCTGACAGGCCATCAGGTTAGAATGTTCTCACAGGTCTGAGGCCCAGAAGAAGTGAACTGGGAGACTCTTTAGAGAGTGTCCCCCGGGTCACAGACTTTGTCTTCTTTTTCTTTTTGCCATTGGTACTGAAGCATATTGCTTTTAATTAATTAAGTTCTTTGCTTCAAGTTTTATTTCCTAGTTTTTCCAAATATGTAAATAAGATGTAAAACATATTTTAATACAGAGGTAGATAAACATAGAGATATGTAGTCAGGTAGATGAATAAAGGGTGAGAGATCCTTAAGTCTGTTATTTAGTGAGGATATTGGAAACAAAAGGAGTTAATTGAGGAAGGATGCTAATCCTTGTCTTCAGTGAAAATTAAGTACAAAAATCACTCAAAAGTATTTTCAAAACTCCCAGAGATGTTATATATGGAAACATGGGCAGATAGATATGCTAAGACTCATGACAAACAGATGTAGCCAGTCACAATTTCTTGAGGTGAACTTGTGTTTGCCAGATTGTTTCTTAAAAAAAAATACACAATTGAGAATCTGGTTGTTAATCATTCTCTCACTAACTCTCACAAACTCATTGTGTTGATAGAGCCTATTAACTTTATTACTTTCTCTCTGCATTCTGTAGTTGAAAGAATGCCAGCTGCAACACTGCATAATGAATGTGTTGCTAAAGTGAGCTGAGGGCTCTTGAACTCTTGATCACCATTTTGCTGCCCCATTTGAGAGATAAAATAGGGGTACCAAGAATTCAATTAATAGTATTCACCTGTCTCAGAAGAACCCCAGGATGCCATTCCCCATCTTGACTGCACAGTCGCATCCTGTAGGGAGATTAACAGACAGTGCTGGCTGTGTTCCATTCTGGCTGTGTCCCAGAGATTCTGTGGTCATTGGCTGGGGGTACAGCCTGAGCACAGAAGTTTGTGTTCCCTCAGGTGATTCTAATGTGCAGGCCAGGTTGAGATTCATGGCACAGGAATGCCTCAACACACTATGTCCAACTTAATATAAAATATATTTAAGATGATGAATTGCTTACTGTGTTTTTTTGAAGTAATTCTCACACATACCCTCACACTAGCTTCTCTGAGTGGAAGCGCACCTCAGCTTATCAGCTAACACCTAGGGACCAACACAAAGCACTAAGGTCAAGGAATATATTTAACTGTTCTGTTAATACTTATCCTAATCAAAAAGCCATTTTTAAATAAGATTTTCAAAATCCAATTTGAATTTTTCTTGCTCAATGTAGTATCAGCCATGTCCATTTACATAAAACTCACCTAATTTTATTCTCCTCCATATTTGGTACTAACTAAATGAAAATCTAATGGGTAAAAGGGAGCTCCAGTTCTTCTTTACACAAATTTTAATTTCCCTGCAATTAAGCATGTAGGTGTAAGCATTCTCTCCAAAGTTAACTTGCAGTTATGAATATAATTGCTGATATAATTTGACTAAAAAGAAAAAAACACAAATGTAAACAAACTAGACCTGATTTTTTTATGATCTCACCTTTAACAGGAACCTAATCAACAAAACAAACAAGCAAAGTATAACCAAAGACACTGAAATAGAGAACAGGTTGACAGGGACCAGAGGGGAGAGGGGAGGGAATTTCAGGGAAAAAAGGGGAAGGGTTTGTAGAAACAAATATAAAGGACACATGGACAATAACTGGGGGGGGGGGGACACAGGAGGGAGGAGGGGAGCACTGGGGGGGGCTGGGATGGGGGAAAAAAGTAGAAAACTGTACTGGAACAACAACTAAAAAATATATATTTGGTTCTACAGGAATTTAGAATTCCAGGCACTGCATTTCCAAACAATACTTACATTTTCTAGGAGACAAACAGCAGCAGGATTCCCATTAAATGCCTTCGTCGTGAATGCATCTGCTATGAAAATAGGGAGCTTCATTTTCCTTGTAAGCTGTTTCTGTAAACTCTCAAAATTGCTGGTAATCTGCTTTGCTTCTTGCTGTTGCAAAAAATTTTTTAAGTTAATGTTTTACTTGCTGTACAGAAGCAACTAACAGTTCCCAGATACAAAATCAAGCAATTATTCTAACACACCTACATTTAAAGATATGTGATCTCTAATTTTTAAGCCTCTAATATTGAATTTGTTTTAAAATACTGAATGAATAGAGCACTTTCTTTTCAAATTTTGTATTAACAGTTATACTGTGTATATACTTAACAACACAATTGTATTCTTACTTAGAGTAGCCAAAACTACCTTAGGCTATGTTTTTGATGAAGTGAATAAAACATCCAAGGGGCGTATATGTGCTTATAGTCACCCAATGAATATTACTACCCTTTTAAAAGAACATTGTTTTCTCTTATTATAAAAAATATGCTCATTGATTAAAATAAAACTTGGCCAAATAAAAAGTGACCCATAACCATGCAATAACATTTTTTTAAATTTTGAACTTAACATAGTCAAAAAAACCCTCATGCTTTAATTAATTTTGTTATTTTATTAAACCATCAAGTGGAGTTTTGGAGCTAATGATCTAGATTAGTAAAAGCTTAGTCATTCTAAGATTAATAACAATAATCTTATAATACTCTTAATCTTCTAATGACTAATCAAAAAGAGTAGTCATTATAAGACTAATACTTCCTTTTTATTTAAAAAATCTATCAAATACAGAAAAGCAGAGGGGAAAAAATAATCTCCTGTGCTTTCACTCCCTAGAGACAAATTCTATTAATATTCTGGGTGTTTCTTTTGCTTCACTAGAAACTTCAACTTGGCCTCGTACCCTTTCCGACCCCTCTCCCACAGACAGTGCCACAATGCAGCAAAGACTGTTGCCTCACCCTGCTGAATACCTAAAGCTCCACCTCTTACAACATAATAGGTACACCAAGACAAAGAAATATAGCCCGAATGAAAGAACAGATCAAAACTCCAGAAAAAGAACTAAGCGACGAGGAGATAGCCAACTTATCTGATGCAGAGTTCAAAACACTGGTAATCAGGATGCTCATAGATATGATTGAGCTCAGTTGCAAAATGAAGGAAGAAATAAAAGCTATACAGTGTGAAATAAAGCAAAATATACAGGGAACCAACAGTGAAGGGAAGGAAACTAGGACTCAAACCAACTATTTGAAACAAAATGAGAAATAAACATCCAACTGGAACAGAATGAAGAAACAAGAATTCAAAACATGAGGAAAGGCTGAGAAAGCTCTTGGACAACTTTAAATGCTCCAATATCCGAATCATAGGGGTGCCAGAAGGAGAAGAGGAAAAGTAAGAAATTGAAAACTTATTTGAACAAATAATGAAGGAAAACTTCCCCAACCTGGTGAAGGAAATAGACTTCCAGGAAGTCCAGGAAACTCAGCGAGTCCCAAAGAAATTGGACCCAAGCAAGAGCACCTTAATTATTATTAAGTTACCCAAGATTAAAGGCAAAGAGAAAATCTTAAAAGCACCAAGAGGAAAAGAGTTAACTGCAAAGGAGTTCCCATAAGGCTATCAGCTGATTTCTCAAAAGAAACCTTACAGGCCAGAAGGGGCTGGAAAGAAGCTTTTGAAGTCATGAAAGGCAAGCACCTACATCCAGGATGACTCTATCCAGCAAAGCTATCATTTAGAATGGAAAGCAGATAAAGTACTTCCCAGATAAGGTCAAGTTAAAGTAGTTCATCATCACCAAGCCCTCATTATATGAAATGTTAAAGGGACTTATCTAGGAAATAGAATATGATAAAAAATATGAACAGTAAAATGACAACAAACTCACAACTATCAACGATTGAACCTAAAAAACAAAAACAAAAATTAGACAAACTACTAGAACAGGAACAGAATCACAGAAACGGAAATCCCATGGAGTGTTATACAGTGGAGAGGGGGAGGGGGGAGAATGGGGGGAAAGGCACAGGGAATAAGAAGCATAACAGGTAGACACAAAATAGACAGGGTGAAATTAACAATAGTATAGGAATTGGAGAAGCCAAAGAACTTATATATACAACCAATGAACATTAAGTGGTGGTGGGGAGTGGGAATGCTGAAGGGTGATAGGGTTCAGGGAGAAGGGGGATAAAAGGAATCATAATTTTTTTTTAATTTCAACAAATTAGAGGGCACTTTCATTACATCTGAAAGAAAATGACCACCCTGGCTGGTGTGCCTCCATGGATGGGAATGCTGTAACATAAATCTATAGGTCACAGGTTTAATTCCCATTGAGGGCACATGCCTAGGTTGCAGGTTTGGTCCCAGGTTGGTGTGTGTGTGTGTGTGCAAAGCAACCAATCAATGTTTCTCTCTCTCCCCCCATCCTTCCCCCCCTCTCTTTAAAATCAATAAGCATGCTCTTGGGTGAGGATTAAAAAAAAGAAAAGAAAAAAGAAAATGACCTATCTAACATGCTTTTTTTTTCATTTTTAAATTGAATTTATTGGGGTTACATTAATTTAAAAAATTATATATAAGTGGTACAATTCTATAATACATCATCTGTATATTATATCATGGCTTCACCACTCCAAGTCATGTTTCTTTCCATCATCACTTATCCCCCCTTTAACCTCTCCTACCTCCCGAACCCACATCTCCCTCTGGTAATGCCCATACTGTTGCCTGTCTGAGGGGTTTTTTTTTCTTACCCCTTAACCTTTTTCACTCAGCCTCCTACCCCCTCCGCTCTGACAGCTGTCAGTCTGTTCTTTGTAGCTATGAGTCTTTCTATTTTGTTCTTTCGTGCATTAGATTCCACACATAAGCGAAATCATACGGTATTTGTCTTTCTGTGACTGATTTATTTCACTTAGCATAATAACTCTCCAGGTCCATCTGTGCTATTGCAAAAGGTAAGATTTCCTTCTTTTTATCCTCACCAGAGTTGGGGGTGGTAAATATATATATATTGCTTTTAGAAAGAGAGAAAGGGAGAGAGTGAAACATTGATTGGTTTCTTCTTATACACGCCCGGAATGGAAATAGAACCTACAAACTAGGTATGTTGCCCTGACTGGGAATCAAACCCACAATCTTTCAGTAAAAGGATGATGCTCCAACCAACTGACCTACAGTGGCCAGGACAAAAGTTCCTTCTTTTTTACACCTGAGTAATAAGTATTACATTGTGTAAATGTACCACAGCTTTTTTATCCATTCACCTACTGAGGGGCACTTGGGCTGCTTCCAAATCTTGGCTATTGTAAATAATGCTATAATGCTACGATGAACATAGGGATGCATATATTCTTTCAAATTAGTGTTTCAGATTTCCTCTGATATATTCCCAGAAGTGGAACTGCTGGGTCATAAAGAAGTTCCCTTTTAAATTTTTTGAGGAAAGTCCATACTGCTTTCCACAGTAGCTGCACCAATCTGCATTCCCACCAACAGCATACAAGGTTTTCCTTTTCTCCACATTCTCTCCAATGCTTGTTTGTTGATTCATTGATGACAGCCATTCTGCCAGGTGTGAGGTAATATCTCATTGTGGTTTTAATTTGCATCTTTCTGATGATTAGTGACCTTGAACATCTTTTCATATGTCTATTGGTCATTTGGATATCCTTTGCCCATTTTTAAATTGGATTGTTTGTCTTGGTGTTGACTTGTATAAATAAGTTCTTTATATATTTTGGAACTTAACCCCTTACCAGATGTATCTGTAGCAAATATGCTCTCCCATTCAGTGGTTTGTCTTTTCATTTTATTGATGGTTTTCTTTGCTGTGCAAAAACTTCCTAGTTTGACACAGTCTCATTTGTTTTCTTTTGTTTCCCTTGCCCACGGAAATAGATCAGAAAAAATATTACTGTGAGAAATATCTGAGATTTTACTGCCTATGTTTTCTTCTAGAATTTTTTATGGTTTCAAGTCTAACATCTAAGCCTTTAATCTATTTTAAGTTTACTCTTTTGTGTGGTGTAAGAAAGTGGTCTGGTTTCATTTTTTTGCATGTAGTCTCTGTCCAATTTTCCCAACACCATTTATTGAATAAATGGTGTTCATTCAATATCTTTAGCCCACTGTATGTTTTTGCCACTTTCGTCAAATATTAATTGGCCATAAAGGCTTAGATGTATTATACCTGGGCTATCTATTCTGTTCCATTGAGCTATATGTCTGTTTTTATGCCAGCACCATGCTGATTTGATTACTATGGCCTTGTAGTATAGTTCGATATCAGGTAGTGTGATTCCTCCAACTTTTTTCTTCTGGTTAAAGGTTTGTCGACCTTGTTTACTTTTTCAGAGAACCAGCTTGTAGGTTCAATGATCTTTTGTATTATTTTTTAAACTCTATTTAATTTATTTCTGCTCTAATCTTTATTACTTCCTTCATTCTACTCCCTTTGGGCTTTGTTAGTTGTTCTTTTTCTAATATCTTTAAGTGTAAAGTTAGATTGTTTATTTGAGATTTTCCTTATTTCCTAGGAAGGCTTGTAATGCTTTGAATTTCCCTCTTACGGATGCTTTCTCTGTATCCCATAGACTCTGAGTTGTGTTCTCATTTTCATTTGTTTCAAGGTATCTTAAATTGTCCCTTAATCTGATTGTTAACCCATTCATTGTTTAGTAACATGCTATTTAGCCTCTGTGTCTTCGTGTGTTTTTCAGTTTTTTTCCTTGTGAATGACTTGTAGTTTTATGCCATTATGGTCAGAGAAGATGCTTGATCTGATTTCTATCTTCTTCAATGTACTGAGATTTTTTTGTGTCCTAACATGTGGAGAATGTATATTCTGCTGCTTGAGGGTGAAATATTCTGAAGCTATCAATTAAATCCACCTGACCGTGACTGGGTAGCTCAGTTGGTTAGAGCATCATCCTGATACATCAAGGTTTGCAGATTCAGTCCCCACTCAAGGCACATATAAGAATAAACCAATGAATGCATAAATAAATGGAATAACAAATTGATGTTTATCTCTCTACCTTCCTTTCTCTCTCTCTAAAATTAATAAATTTTTTAAAAATTATTTTAATTTA